TTTCATAGAGCTGTGCCTTAAAAAAAAAAAAATCCCATTGAATATTCCAAGACATTTTTAATATTTTCTTTTGGTTTCAGTAGTAAATAATTTTTAAAGAGGCCTTTCCTTAAGTGTTCAAATGGTATTTCTTTTTCTTTGTGTGCAACATGCTTTTCCTAACGGGCTCACTTTATTATTTTTTTTTATTCATTCTAACTAGAGTTATACATATTCAGTGTTTCCCAGCATACAGTCTACATGATTTATTCCCAGTCCTACTCACTATAGCTTGGATTTGCCTCTTTAGATCTATAGCTAGTTGCCAGTTCCCAAAAGCCAGCAGTTTTTATTTTGTGTAGATCTGTTGGCTGGAGACAGGTCACCACTACCCCGGCTTTCTAACCCTAGTACAGACAGTAAAAAGTCAAAACTACAGCTCCCCTCCAAATTCACAGGGTTTTCCTGTCTCTGCCCCCTTAACAGAGTGTTACTCAAAATCCTTAGAATGCAGGGCATTATCCTTCATGTTCAATCAGACTTCCTGCCCAGTTGGTTTCTCAGGTTGGCAGTTTTCTAATGGATTGAACTGAAAGGGAAGATAAGATTCGGGTTGTGTAGGAGTTCTGGGAAAGTCAACTAACTCACTGGCTGCTTCCAAAAAACAAAACAAAACACCCTAACCACAGCAGCAGAGTAGAGGGATGACTGTCCTGTTTTTAGCCTTAAAGGGGCCTCACATTTTTAAGTGAGGGAGCAGAAGGTGGACATGTCCAAATTCTCCCAAGGCTAGTGGTTAACTTTGTTCATATGCCACATATTATGTTTATCAAACAAGTTACCTTTAGTCTTTTAGATTCTGAAAAATCTTCCCAGATTCTCTCTGAGAATGTCAATTCAGGGTTGGAGAGGTTGGAGAGAAAAAGGAACCCACATTCTCTGGTGGGGAGAATGTAAATTGGTACAGCTACTATGAAAAACAGTATGGAGGTTCCTCAAAAAATTAGGAATAGAATTACCATATGACCCAGCAATCCCTCTCCTGGGTATCTACCCCCAAAATCTGAAAACACTTACCCATAAAGATATATGTGCGCCAATGTTCATTGTAGAATTATTCATAGTGGCCAAGACATGGAAAAAATCAGTGGCCTTCGATAGATGATTGGATAAAGAAGATGCGGTGCTTTATACAATGGAATATTACTCAGCCATAAGAAAAGATGAAATACTGCCATTTGCGACAACATGGATGCATCTTGAGATTATCATGCTAAGCAAAATAAGTCAGACAGAAAAAGTCGAGAACCATATGAGTTCACTCATATGTGGGATATAAAGCTGAAAGCAACAAACTAACGAAACAAACAAACAAAATCTCAGACACAGAAAAAAGTTTAGTGGTTACCAGAGGGTAAGCGGGGAGGGAGGTGGTAGAAGATGGATAAAGAGGATCAAATATATGGTGATAGAAGGAGAACTGACTCTGGGTGGTGAACACACAATGTGATATATGAGTATAGATGATGTATTATAGAATTGTACACTTGAAATCTATATAATTTTACTAACCATTGTCACCCCAATAAATTTAATGAAAATTAAAAAAAACTGTAGTTTTCCTAGTTGAATGTCATCTTAATTGTCAAAGTCAGCACGACTCTATGATTTTTTTTGCATCTTCGTAGGTATTTTCAAATGAAGTAGAGAAAGGTTGTATGAGGACTTGCTAGCCAAATGCCACTTTTTAAAAAAAATTTCCAAGTCAGATATTTACTGAGTACCTTCTTCAGCTTGCATAGATGTCTATATTATAGGGTTCACACAGTATAATGATTATGTACATACACACTCACACACACACAATCATTACTTTCCCCACTTTTGTGTGAACTCGGGACAGATACAATTTATTTCTTCCTTTGTGTTCATAGTAGGTGATTAATAAGCACTTGCTGAATGAATGAATGTCTAACAAAGGCAAGAGACAAGCGTCATCAAGGCAAGCGTAAAGAACTGAGAAAGCGGAGTGTTGTTGAAGCAGAAGGAGCACAGAGAGTGCCCAGCGGTTCTCCGAGAAAATATTCTTTTTAGTACCAAGATAAAACGCTATATGCAACCTATCACTGGTAAGACAATGATATAAGGAGCTCAAATCATAGACAGACACACGCCATGCTCTCTTCTCCCTTCCAAAACACTGCTTATACTGTGATTTCCCTGGCCCCGAACCTTCTTCCTCATTTCACTCAGTGTCAATGTCACCTGCTATCTGAAGCCTTTCCTGACCACTGAGACCAGGGTGGACAATCATCTTCTATGCATCTAGGGAGTCCTGGACACTGAGTGGCACCTGAGCTGGAGCCAGTATCCCCGTTTATATTATCTGTTTATATATTGTCTGCCCCCCAAAACAGTGATATTCCTAACGGCTGGAATTACGGCCAGTTACTCTTGTAACCATCCCCACCTGTAACAGGTCCTGTGCTTATTAAAATAAATAATTAACTGATGAACAAATGTACTCATGCTCATGATAAAAAGGGAGCCTTTTCTCTTAATTTACCTGGTCATTAATGCTGGTATTAAATACTTATATGGATAGTAAGAGTAGCAACTAATCCATGTAGTATTATTAGCAGATTGCTCATACTGTATGCATATTTTTTCTAAAGGAACATATGATCTCATTATTATCTCCATGCTGACTATCAATTATCAATAAGTACAAAGTAAACACTTAGTATGTGCCCAGAGAAATGTTTCAGGAGCCAAAAGAATAAATCATATATGGTTCTTGCCCTACTGGGGTTATCCTGACAATTTTAGTTGCTATGTGTACATTTTATCAAGCACTTCCCTCCCCTCCCTTGAAACATGCTCCATGAATGTAGGAACTGTTGTACCTTACTGCATCTACAGCAGTGCTTGGCACATACTAGGTACCAAATAAATATTTACTAAATGAGTGCTGGAGGCAGTAGTCATTGTAGGCTCTGACAAAAGGACAACTTGATAATAGATGGATTTCAGGATGATTGTTCTGATGTTACCCAAAAAAGGATTGAGGGAAAGAGATTTGGGCGAAATTTTTTAGCCCCGAATTTTCTTCCGTCTGTCTCATCTAGATCATCTTCTCCTTCCAGTGTTGTGATGTAGACGCATGGAGTGACAGCTATTCCAATGTGAGCCTAACATAAGAACGGTTACAAAGGAAAAGCACTGCTAAGAAATGTCGGGTGATATATGAGGTATGTTTACAAAACAATAAAATTTTTTAAAGAAGTAAACATATCAGAAGTTTTTAATATAATTGGGCATATTTCCCCATGCAAGAAATCTCCCTTGGTGAGTATGTACTTACTCTAAGGAGGCAGGCATTCTTAAAAAAGACTCCACTGAGTCCACTTGGAATTACATTCTGCATTTGGGCTATCTTTATTAGAATATCCTTATGGTGCTAATTCTGGCATCCTTGGATGTCAGGCTTGGTTTTAAGAAATAGACAAAAGCCACTGGGAGCCATGGCACCTGCTGCTGAAACTGGGTAGACAGATGTTGGCAAGGGAAGACCCCCAAGGGAAGGCCCCCAGATCCATGATCATTTTACTATACAACCCTGCTTTGTTTCGGGGTCATTTCATGAACTGGTCTTGCTTCTTAACTTCTATAGCATTGAAAATGTCTAATATATTTGGCTTCTGATATTTTTCTTTAATTAAGATACTCATTTTTGTACCCATATAAAATACGTACTTCCCCTAACCTGTTTGTACCCGGAGAGTCAGTTATCTGAAAGCACAGCTTTTTAGCTGCAGCCTGTGGCCACATGGCTTCCATGGACCAAAAAAGGAGGCCAAGATCATTATTTGTTGTGTGGGCACACTTCATGGATTCCAGACCTACAGAACTTTTGCCACGCTCTATTTTTTCTTTTCACCTTGACTCCCTTTTATTTGCAGAAGTTGATTATGCCAACAAGGTCATGAACATCAAGATCAGGTCTCCCTGTGTGCATCATAACAATACTTAAAACCATCTCAATGCAATTAATCACAAACCATAGAATTCTGAGTCTTAGAGTTCTACAAGCCAGCAGGCTGCTCCAATGACATTCGAGGCATAAACCTTACACTGCTCCCAGTCTTTACTCTGAGCTCCCCACCTTAATTTAGCTCATGCTCTACTTCTCAACGTTTTGACATCTTCCTGATCTGCATTCATGGCTTATTATCTTCCTTGCAGCCTCTCCTGGCCTCTCAGAACTAAAGCTTAACTCTACTGCTCTAGCTTTCGCATGCTTCATCCAACCTCAAACATGATTCTCGGTGGCTGTACTACTCTCAACCACTTAATCTCACGTGGCCACCAAGATGTTCTATCTTAGCTTAGGTGGTTATTAGCTCTCCCACCAAGTTCATCCTGGCCCTTCCAGGACAGCCCAGAATCTCTGCACTGGAAGTGACCCTACAGGTCACTGACAGCCGAATTTATCCACCAATGTAAGTTTATTAATTGGATTTTACTTTAACCAAAGTTCCATCTGAAATCCTAACAACACCAGTGTGGACTCTGAGTAACCCTGACTTCCAGGGCCTAGGCAGATGTGCGGCTGTGGCAAGCAAGACCACGGGTGGTAATGTTTACCACTTACTTACAAGGCAGCTTGAGAATGGAAATCAAACCACGACGCTTCAAACTGATGTAAATACAGAAATTACACAGGCAGGGGCCCACAACTTCCAGCCACTCCACGGGACAAAGACACAGCAGTAGCTAAACGTAAGAAATACTGCTTTTAACGCTCTCAAAGTTGGCTCTGAAACAAGGAGAACTTTCAGCAGATCATCCTGGGGAGCAGCGAGAGCCTTCGCAATGGCCATGCATCTGCAAGAAGCCAGTGGGCTGCTGGCCCGTTTTGTTTATTTTTCCTCTTTTCCCTTCTCCTCACTTTGCTTCTTCCAAACTTTGGAGCTCTTTGGCCTGCCTTCACCTTTGTGCAGGGACTGGCTGTCACTTACCATGCCCTTTAGTGTCAGATCTGCTAAGGGAGACCGGTTGCCATGGAAATCTGGCCAAACATGTAAATCAACAGTGAGGAAACCCACAGGCTGAGCCTTCTTAATCAGATCCAGGTGACTGTTCAAATACGCATATACGCTCTGGCATCTGGAAGAGAAGTGAATTTTGTTTTTAAAAGGGGAGTAGGGTCAGGGAGCAAATTGTTCTGCAGAAAGAAACCATTTGTACTTCCACATCAGATCCCGAAAGTAAGCTGGGTCCCAAAAGTTTCAGCAAAGAAACTGCCCCAAACCCACAGAAACCAGCATACTGTACCCTTGAATCATTGTACTACCACCAAATACAGATGGTATGTCCTACCAGAAAGTGAAAAGGTTTGGAATCAGGAGACCGGATCCAGGAACGGCTCTACCCCCAGTAGGTGTGTAACCACGAGCAAGTTATTCAAGCTTTCGGAACCACTTTTTTGCATCTGTGAAACCAGATACATATTCCCCGTCCAACTTACCTCATACCATTATTGTGAAGATCAAAGGAGATTATGTATGTGAAGATACACTATTCTGTAAACTGTACAATGCTGTACATATGTGGATTTTTAAAAATCAGTATCCATAATTGTAATGATCATAATGAGATGATGAATGGAGACAAATTTAAGTTCCTACACTGAGGGTGGGAGTTTGCTAAGGGAAGTGAGAGAAAGGAGTGAATGCTGTTAGAGTCAGGAATTAGGAGACTGAATTTCTAACCTTCACCCATCAAAATGACATTGCGTTAGTTCTTTCTCCTTTTTTAAGCCTCAGTTTCTTCACGTAGAGAACGAGGGAATCTGGCTCTCTCTCTCTCTCAGTCTTTACATGTTCAGGTGAGACAGAGGTAGAGATGGAGATGATGGGCTTGGGAGTCCAGGCAGCCCTGGGTTCAGATCTCGGTTCTACCTGTACGAGCCGGGTGACATGGGCCAGTGACTTAACCTCCCTGAACTTCAGTTTTCCCATACATTAAAATGGGTACAACAATACCTACCTCATGGGGTTAAATGTCACTACATGGCACCAACATTAAAGTTGGTTAACTTTCCCTCTTTATAGGTGCTTCCTTCTCAAAATCCTAAACCAACAATTCTGAAGAAAGTGGGTTTATTAGAGGTTGGCATCCTTGCCACTTCCCGCTGCTGTCCTTGGATTGATAGCTTTCATGGTTAAAAACATGGCTTGAAGAATGACAGGAAAAAAAAAAAAAGAAATCAATGTCCAAGGGAGGTTAATATCTAAGATACCTAAGATGGTATTTATTATTTACACTTTATACATGTTTTAGGAGTACAGCTCTTAAACTCGAAAACAGAGGTTTTGAGTTCCAGTTTTGTGACACCGTGAGTGTCCTTCTGGATCCCACGAAGTTCCTGAAAGTTTTCTAAATTAGAAATGAGTACAGCAATGGTTTTCAAACTATTAAATAAAAATTTTATGTGGAACGCCAATATAGAAAATATAGCAAAGCAAAACTGCTCTACATAAGTGCACACAGGAATGTGAGTGTGAGAATGTGCGTGCGTGCATGATGTATGCTGGGTGGACGCAAGGGCAGTCCTGCCTACCAGGTGACCTTTTTGCTCTCGCTGTGACACCTCATTTCTGTCTGTAAAAATCTGCCTTAGATCACATTACGAGGTCATCTATGTGGTCCCGCAAAGGTTCACCAAGCACAGTCATCAACTGTGGCTAGTGTGCCCCAGGCCTTCAACCACAGCCAGGTAAGGCAAGCACAGTCAGCAACCCTTTACAGAGCGGGTGCACAGAGAGATGAAGACTGAAGACCAAGTCCAAATTTAAACCCTTCTCTGTGTGATTCTGAAGCCATGTGTTTTCTGTAGTTCAGGTCAGAAATGATTTGTCAAAGCCCCACATTCAAACTCTGCTTTAGCATGATTCTATGATAGTGTTAGGAAAGGATCCTCCAAGACGTCCATGGAAGGCAGAGCCAGAACTATCTGTCTGGCTAGAATCTCATCACATCCTGGTTTTCTATTTCCCAGCTCTCTCTGCTCCTGGTCCAACAGAAACCACATCGACAACAAAAAGCCACGAGAACATCCTTTCTAGCCAGAAGGCAAGAGTCTGCACTAATTCTAGCAATATTCCCCTTCAGAATAGCATCACTGCACTTAAAGGGATTTTTTTTTTTTTAAGAACTCCATGTCTATAAATCTTTTCATTTGCCTCTCAAGGAATCTCAGAGCAGGGCATTTGGTTTCAGACATCTGGGTCAATAAGAACCTATAGGCCTAATTACTATTGATTCGTCATTGTCTCATTTACTCTGGGTCTTTGCAAACAGTGAGATTCATTTAGCCTTTACATATATGGTCACTCGTGCACTAATGAGATCCCTGGGGGATGGGGCACATGCTTACCCCTTTGACTCCTAACCTCCTCACAGCTGTATGTTTATTCTTTGAATGCAGCCATTCTCCAGCACGTTTTTTCAATTATACCTTACCATGTGTGCTATCTGAGTGTATCATTCAAAATGAAGTGCACTTGGAAAGCATTAAAATAACGAATGCACATCATTATTCACATAATTTTAACCTTGCATGATGCCTTTTTTTGGTTCTGACTTTGATTCATTTTGTATGTTTTATCAATTCCTTCTCAAATGGCGGCCTGCCCTCTTCCAGCTCAGGAATCGCAGATTAACTGCTCCGAGTAGATCATTCTCCCTCCCTCTCAGGAACTTCAGGCTCATATATCCCGTCTCAGAGGGAGAAATTCTTGCGGTCCTAGTCCCATTGAGCATAACAAAGAAAATATCATTTGAACAATCACAAAGTGACCTCACCATGTATTAGTTGGGAGATCAGGTACACTAAACCTCTTCAAACCTAGTTTACTCCTTTGCGAATCAGAGCTAATACTTTTACCTTACAGGCTCCTAGTAAGATGAAAGATGGAGTTCTGAGCACTGTAAAATGACAGGGGATCGATAAATAGTTCCCTCTCCTTTCCCATCACAGGAAATTCATTTCCAGCTTTAAAAAAATCCGATAGTCAGGGAAGATTTTTTTTTCAGACTTTATGGCTTACAATTTCACAGACAGACAGCACCCTGGAATCTCTATTCTCCCCTCCCTCTCCATAAATCATTTAACTCTGTGGATTCATAGGCTGCACAGAAGTATGGCAACCACACTTTCAAACCAAAAATCAGAATACATGGTCTAACAGAAGATGTCTGTACACTTTCCAAGAATAAGAGAAAGTCTGGGGAAAGAAGCTCCCACACTACTTGTCTCCCGCTGCCATATGTATTCTGTCTGCCCCATTCTATTGAAACTGGTCCCACTGTGAGGAATGATCCTCTCATTGTTGCTAACTCCAATGGACCATTTTCTGCCTTTATTTTACTTGAATTCTCTCCCACATTTTGCATCCCTTAGCCACTTCTTACTCATTTGTTCTCTTGCCCTTGTTTCCAGGACACTATACTCTTGGTTTTCCTACCTCCTCTCTAGCTGGTTGTCTTCCTTTGCTTGTCCCTTAAATATTTGAAATCCCCTAGAGTTCTATCCTTGTCCCTCTTCTCACTCTTTATATAGCCTTGGGTTATCCCATCCTTCTCTCATGGCTCCTGTTACCATGTAGGGCTGAGGACTCCCAAATTTATACCCTTCTCTCCTGCTCATTTCTCTCTCATGAGTTCCAGGTCAAATATCTAACCACCCATCAAATGCTTTCTCTTGGTTGTCCAAAGGGACCTCAACAAAAATGTATAATATGACACACATCATCTTTTCTGGTATACTCACTCTTCCTTCTGTGTTCCTTGGGTTAAACAAAGCCAATCTCATTTAAGCCCTTGCTCAAGCAACCATTTGGGGTGTCAAGTCAGAGTGAGAATCATCTTTGACTCCTCTCCCTCCCCCTCAGCTCCCAAATTTAATTTTTTACCAGGACCTGTCAATTTATTACCTTAAATATTCCTCTACCCAGCAGACCTTTCTCCAGCTCAACTGCTTCTACTTTATTCAGGCCACCTTCAAATGCCTGGATTAGAGCTTTGGCCTCCTAGCTTATCTCCCCTACTGAAATCTTGCCCCCTCCAGCTAGGTTTTCTGCATTCCTTCCTGGGTGATTCTCCTGAAATGCAACTCTGATTATGACTCCCACCCCTCCCTAAACCCTTCAGTGGCTCCTCCCTATTGTCCTCACAGAAAGCACAAACTTCCTTGCCTGGCATAAGATGTTCCTCATCATCTAGCTCTCCCTACCCTGCACTGTGTTACATACATGTCTTCCATTCCTCCTCCGTCCTCACCCCTGAACACACCATGCTATAACCACACTAAACTACTTTTAATGTTCATAATAAGCCCCTGAACGTTTGCCCATTCTGCTCCCTCATGCCCAGAATTCTCTTCCTTGCCTTCTTTACCTGCCTCTGTCAATCATCATTCCAGGCTCATCTTTGATACCATCTCTTGGAGGCCTTTCTTGGATCCATGCTCCTTTCATGGCTCATGCCCACACAGTAACATGCACTGAACACAACTGCCTCAGCTCTCTTCTTCACTCTCCAGCCCCAGCCTTGCAAAAGGAGAGGAGTGATTCTGACATCTGTAAGCACCCTCAAGAGTGAGTGGTCATCTATGTCAGGGTTTTGACACTAAAATCTGTGCTCTCTGGTTTGGGAATAGAGAAATTTTCTGCAGTGGTGCTGATTACACTATTTCCCTACTTAGAATTCTGCAATGGTTAACCACTGTCCATTGGACAAAATCAGTTTCTTACCTCGGCTTATAAGGTCCTAGTTGATCAGACCTTACCCACATCTGCAGTCTCACCCTGCCCACTATGGTCCGTGATCTAATATCAGTTCCTCAGGCTCCTCTTCAAGGCTTTCGCATGTGTCAGTCCCTTAGCCTGTAGTGTTTTTCCCTTCTGCTCTCCACAAGATTAGCTCTTTTTTATCCCTCAGATCCACACCGTCCCTACATTAGCCAGGGCTTCCCTGAGCACCTTACCTAAATGGGGTTTCCCTGATAGTTTATCACTGCACTCTGTTTCTTTCATATCACACATAGTCACTATAGAATTATTTGCTTGTTCATTTACTTGATAACTGCCTACTGCCTCCTTTGA